TCCTACTCCTACGAGGATGTCATCGGCTGGTTGCCCCAACTATTTGCTAAGATCTCCGCCAACACACTATAAAGTTCTCAACTATGTGTTGGCCTTCTAGCATTTGCTTGCACAACTGTCAGATCTCTTCATTCATTGCAGCCACCTGCCTGAAAAGAGTGTCCTGGTCTGGCTGTGAGGAGCTCGAGGAACTAAGAATGAGACCACAGGAGAGCTTAGCCTCAAAGGCCATAAACCCTCCCCTCATTCCTCCCTGTCGGGTGGGTCCAAAGCTCGTACTCGGACTGCACAATGGTAGACTAACTACCACTGTTTTTTTCTAAAGTTTGGGACTGAGCGACCAAGTGCCTCCCTCAGAGCTGCTAAAGCTCCTCTTGCATAAGGAAAACCAACGTTTAATTGACACTTTCAACATTTAAAGTTAAAATAAACTTTTAATTTAAGGTTTTAACTTATGAAAACCCACCAAGAATGCTCTGAGAACCATTGTGTGGTCCCCAGGTGCCGATTAGTTCAAATATGCAGCTTCGGAATAGAGGGAACACGACTCAACTTCTTGGCCTGTGCAGCGTACAAAAATGATTATCGCTAAAAAAGTTACTCCAACAATTGAATTATTTTTTAAATATCGAAGAAAATCTTACTCGCCGCCTGTAGTGCTCCGTTTGGGGGATCGATCCGCCAATATGGAGCGCAACTCCCCTGATCCCCTCCATCGCTTGGTTCACCCGATTCGCGTGTCTCTTCCTCTTATAATCAGAAGATGCCCAAACTGTAGTCAACAAATCCTAGAGCCCCTCAATAGTCCAAACAGGCCGCTCGCCCCTCCGGCAGGCTATTGTGAACATGTTAGCACGGTGATGCCTGCACAGAATCTTGAAGAAACAATGGATCTACTGGTTGTGCTCGTGAAGGACCTCTGCAACATTAAAATTAATCCAAGTGTTAGTATAAGAAATTAAATCAAATATACAAATTTAATTAAAATTAAATGATCGTACCTCAAACTCTCTGAATAACAAGTCTTGAGTGAGTACATGTATCTGCTTCCATGACATATATGGCTCGTCGTACTTGCTCTTGATAATCTCTGTGATGCAGGTGACAGACTTGTGGAGACTCAATCTGCTTAAGAAACAATTTAGTTACCAAAAAAACTATAACATGAAGAATAAAGGTAATACAATGTTAAAAAAAACTTACCAGTCACCATCTGACAGTAAGTGTACCCTCGGCGATGAGGGGGCAGGAATCGACGGGTCAGGCTCAAGAGGTGTGATAGCAGCAGGTGGGGGAGTATGTATGAAAGCAACAGACGTCACATGAGATGGGGCATCATCAAGTGTGGGAGCAGGTGCCACAAGAGGGCTGACAACAACCGGCGAGGGAGAAGGTGACATAGAAGGTGTGGCAACAACCTGTGGAGGAGGAGGTGCCACAGAAGGCATAACAATAGCCGGTGGGGAAGGTGTCATAAAAGGTGTAGCAATAGTGAAAGTAGCGGTAGAAGTAGATGACCTCCTCTTCCTGCAACGGTAGGTGGCCTCAAGGGTCCCTAAAACATGGGTCAATGATGTGGCTGACCACTTGTATCACCTGTGGCCATTTGTAAACAAATGAATGACATTAAAAAGATTAGTGCTGGCGAGGAAAAAAATCATAAGCAGAAAGAAACAGTGTAGTAAAGGTAAAACACAAGTAGCAACTATATCTAAAAGCAAGAAAAATGAGAGTAAGAGCTTTGTCTCAATACAACAAAAGTAACGTTTAATCTACATCAGAACAACATTATATCCAACTATATTACAGTTCAAAGCCTTAAAAATATAAATACTTAAAAAGAAGTTATTGTCACAAATCTTAATTATCAAAAGTTTACAGCTACACCTATTTCAATATAAGTTCAAACATTTCATAAATTAAAAATACATAAAAACACATTCTAATCCTCCTAATCATCCTCCTTCGCTTTATCCTCCTCCTCGACTGCAACAGTCACTGTTCGCTTGCTCCAAGTATCTTCTATATTCTTAGTAAGACATTATATTCTCCACTCAATTTTTTGTTGAACTTCACGTAGATGGTGAACCTCCTCAGCCATAGCAACGACCTGCCTAGCAAGCTCCACAGTACTTGGGTGCGACGAGCTCAGGCCACCCACAGAAGCACGAGAGTGCTCGATCTTCTTCTTCCCCGCCGCTTGCATCCATAGCTCAAACTTAGACTGCGTAGTGTTAGACTGAGTACCACTATTGCTAGCAGTGCTCGGGGTTTGGGAGGACAACTGCCTCTCCCGGGCCCGCTCGTACTCCTCCTACATAATAGAAGCTAATTATTAATCAACATTTTAAACATTAAGAGTAAAAATAAATATGAAAAAAAAATCAATTTTTACTTACATTTACCCATTGAGGTGACTCATCACAAGCACCACCTGTGGTTATCTGTAGCAGGATTGTCAACAAAAAAATCAGAAGCAGTATACATAAATAAAATGAGGAATGTGCTCAATCTAAATAGGTAACATATCGTATCTATGTAAAAAAAAAAAAAAAAAAAAAAAAAAAACCCCTTAACATCAAACCTTCAATTTATACCAACATACAACCTTACCTACGCATATAACTCAAAATATTTTGACATAAATAATTTTGTTTATACAAACCTAACACCTGAAGTACAATATTTACATGCATTTTATTGAACTCTTATGTATATACATACCTAGCTGACACCAAAACTTCAATTTATACAAACACCTTACTAAACATTAAGAACTTTTCTCTATTGCTAGACTCTTTAAACAAGCTTACACGAAAATATCATTGGGTTTTTGCCTTTTTAGGTAGACCCATTAAATGAAGAGTTTCATATACTTGGGGAATGCTTTTGCAGGTCTACATATTGAAAAATTTGATGTGACTTAGGTTTAAATGCGTGTTTTTTTTTCATTAGTAATTGACATCAATAATTTTTGGACTCGTGTCTTCTATTAGTAACTTCTTAATGCAACTAATACATCTAATTATCTTACCTCTCATTAAGTTTATTAATTTTAGATTGACAATTTACCTCTAACAACATATATTATAGAAGTTCCATTTCTCACTATTCTATCCTTCTCTAACAGCTCATCTCACCTGAATATTATCTAGAAGTGAATAAATATATATACCTAAAATCCCAAGCTAAAGCTAAAATCTGCATTACTCTAAACCTAACTTATGAATATATATTCCTAATACCTAAACTTCAAATGTTACATACATTCCATTGAAATCTTACGCATATACATTCTTAACACCTAAACTTCAAATGTTACAGACATACCAAAATTAAAAAAAAAAAAAAATCTCGAAGTTACCTTTTTCCGATCGACTAGGGTAGCGACGGATTTCGGTGGCCGGAGGGAGGAACGACGACCGGCGACGACGAGGTGCTGCGACCGACGATGGAGAGGTGCGGCGACCCGCGACCGTCGACGGTGAGAGGGAGGAGATGATTTTGGTGTCGCTGGAAGAAGGAGAGAAGACATGGACATAGCGCGTGAAGAAGAAAATGGATCAGAAGTCGCAAGATGAATTTTTTAGGTCAATTGAGTCGGCTACATCGTCTGCCTTGCATGTTTGGGACACTCTTATTGTCATTATCAGTAATTGGATAACATAGTTGTTATGATGATGAATTCATATATGAAGTGGAGTATCATTCATGATAACTAACTCTATAGAGCTATTTCATGGTAGAAAAACTTATCAAAAGACATTAAATACGAATCTTTTTTATAAGTTTCATAAAACTTATATCAATCCTCATTTGTTGTATTTCTTTTGTTCTCAATATCAACTATAAAAAAACACATTTCATGCTCTCTCATGATTTAAATATGATAAAATGGTGCTACCACGAAGTTGAGTCGGTAGACAAGTTCAACTAGGTTGGGATACCCCAACCCATTGTTGATAGCCCGATAGTAACAAGCATTAATGACACCACCAAGCCAAAAATCTAAAAATGCTATGCCAAATATTGTATTACTCTAAGAAAAAATAAATAATATCCTATGATTTCTTATATGCATATAATCCTCCATTTTATAGGAGTATTAATTGAAGTAATTATTTCTTTTGAATGACTTTGATGTTCATGCATTGTTTTGAATATTATCAACTAGATAAGATTTTTTATGATAAGAGTAAGTACTCCTTATATATTTGTTTTAATATTAGCCACTAATTATGAAGGCAGGCATTATGATGTTTCATCTTATGGCAACTCTAAATAATTAGGATAAGGCCAAGTATGATGATGATTAGGATTTATTTTTATTTTTAATATTGCCTATCCATGTCATAATTACATCAACAATATTAAAGTGTACTTCAAGTTTACATTCGTCGTGGTTTGTTATAACGAAGCTGCAAGATAGCTTCCGTTTTGGCTTCTTCATGATTAGAAATTATTGTATTAGGACAGCTGACGAAAATTTATGTCAGGTGTCCAATTAAAATTGACTATATCAAAATGTGAACCTCATTGAAATACAATGGTTGATTGTTTTTTAAAAGTGTGGGATCTATCCTAACACATGACCAATTAATTACAAATTTACTTCAGGTGTCCTAATGCAAATTTGTGTCAGGTATCCTGATGCAATAATTTTTTCTCCATGATACAAGGAGTCTGCTCTCACTCCTATAATTCAGTTGGAAAAAAAAATTTACATACATCCCACACAATTCTTACGTATTTACATATCTAATGCCTAAATTATATATATATGAGTAAGAAGCCTGATCAGCCAGAATTCTTATTGAAAAACAGCCTGAAGCGACATGCAGGCCACTAAATAACTTAAAAATCGATCACTCACCATACAATTTTTTTAATTTAAATAAAGAAAAAATTTCTACAAATAAAAAAATCTCAACTTGTACAGTTTACATCTGCTGAAATGACCTCATCTCTAAGAACAAAGTGAATATATATTATATCCCGAACCCACATCAAACAGTGCTCCCATAAATCTAATCATTCCATACTTATCTCACAATTTAATAAATCAAAAGCAAACAATGCCAACAAATTGGACTGACAAACAATAATCGTCATCTCCTCACAAAAAAATTTGAGTCTTGTTTCTTCTCCTTTTTACCCTTCTGTCTCCATTCCCTCTTTAAAAGCCATTAAATTTCTCCCTTCTGATCCACTCCAGAATCACATAAAGCATAAAAAGATTGAATCTTTAGAAGATCCAACCCTTCCCCCTCCTCTTTCAATGACGCCGGAGGAGGGATTGGATGCCTCCAACCTCTCATCGCACCATGGGCACCATCACCACCACCACCACCATCATCTCATGGATTGGCTTGAGGATTCCATCTCCTTCCTCCCCACCTTTCTCAACGAACCTTACTCTGTTCCTGAAGAGGTGCTCCCCTGCGACTGGTGGGTTCAGCAACAAAGCATGTCTTTGACCGCCGCCGCCGTACCACCTATTGCCATCATGGCCGCCAAGCCGGAACCGCTCCCTGAGACACCCAGATCGGAAATACCCAAAAAACGCAAACTTGCTGCGAGGCAAACCGCCGGCGAGCTTGACGAAGAACGTAAGCCGCAGGTGAATAACGGATCAAGGAAAGTGCAAGGAAGAGGAAGCTTATCAAACTCCGGCGGTGGCGGGGGAGTTGGTGGTGGGAGCAAAGAGGTGAGGTGGGCGGAGCAGCTTTTGAATCCTCTCGCGGCGGCAATCGATGCTGCGAACCTCTCCCGCGCGCAGCACCTTATCTACGTTCTTCAGGAACTAGCATCGCCCACCGGCGACGCAAACCATCGCCTCGCTTTCTACGGCCTGCAAGCCCTCTCCCGCTCCTTCTCTTCTTCCTCTTCTTCGCCGCTGAACTACTTGTCTACGGAACCTCGGCTTTTTCGCTCTGCTCTGATAAAGTTCCACGATGTAAGCGCTTGGTTCGCGTTTCCGAACTGTTTGGCGAACGCGGCGATTCTTCAAGCGGCGGCGTGCGGGCGCGCGGGGGCTGTGAGGAGCGGGAGTCTTCACGTTGTGGATGTTGGAGTTTCGCATGGATTGCAATGGCCGACGCTAATGGAAGCGCTTGCGAGACGCGGGGTCGGGTTGGTGGGGCAGGGGATGGTTCAGTTGACCGTGGTTGAAATTGGGTCGGGGGGGCCGTTCGGGTCGGCTCCGGCAGGTTATGATTTTGGGCCGCAGTTGATGAGGTATGCTAAGTCTATTGATTTGAATTTGAGGGTGGAGAGAGGAGGGATGAGAAGGGGGGTGGAGAAGGAGATAATGGTGTTGTGTTTGCAGTTTCGGGCCGGGCGGGTCGGGTTTGGGTTTTGGAAGATGATGAGGGAGATGGAGCCGGATTTGGTAGTATTGACTGAGATGGAAGAAGTGGAGGGTGGGGGTGGAGGTGGTGATAAGGGTTTTGGAAAAAGGGCGGAGTTGTTATGGAGATTTTTGGACTCGACTAATGTGGCATTTAAGGGGAGGGATAGTGAGGAGAGGACAGTGGTGGAGGGGGAGGCAGCGGGATTGTTGGAGGAGGAGGGGGATGAGGGGGAAGGAAGGGGGAGGGAGAGGTGGAGGGAGAGGATGGAGGGGGAAGGGTTTAAAGAGGAAGGGTTTGCGGAGGAGGCGATAGAGGCAGGGAGAGCTTTGTTGAAGAAATATGATGGGAATTGGGAGATGAAGGTTGGGGCGGATGGGGCCGTGGGATTGTCTTGGAAAGGGCAAATTGTCTCCTTCTGTTCGCTCTGGAAGCCAACTTATAAGGTGACGACCAGTGTTTTTGGTGGCAGAGCAAGAAGGCATTAGTTTTAGGTTCATTTGCTAATAAGATTGATGTTTTTTGCCTGAGATTCAGCTCCTTGTTATTCTCTCTATTTATGTCTCTGTTAAGTGTGCATAATTGGTTGTATAGTGAATTGGAAGGTATGAGATTTTTTGCTAGTAATAAAATTAGCGAGCTTCAGTCTTCTATGATAATGAGTTCTCTCTTTTGATCCCTCCTTATTTGTATAATGATTGTATTCTACTCTTAATATGAACAACCATAATATTAGAGCTCAGAGTATGAAGTGAAAGTGAGATGTGACTCAACTAGCATAATGAAGATGTTAAAAACATTAAGATGTGAGAGTACAAGTTATTTTTCTTAACATTACATAAAATTTCACCTACAAATCAATAAATGACACTCAAAAGAAGTGCAAGAATCTGCATTTATATAACTCAATAAAAAATATACACAGGGTATGACCCTATTATAATAATCATGTATATGAACATAAGTACAAATTATAGAAGTTTATCACTCTCACAAATTTAAGGAAGAGAAATTTAAAAGTCGATATAATTGTTTTGGCCTGATAGTAGTGACAAGCACTCAAGGAGATTATATGGTGTGTAATGGTGTTGCTGTTGAATGATAGTAAATAGTCAGACAGTGATGGTGGTTGGTGTCAGTTAATAATGGGCGTCAACTATTGGAGGGATGTTGGTGTAAGTTAATAGAAGGTGATGTTAGTCAGTTGATGATAGTTTAGTGATGACGAATGTCTGTGGTTATCAATGTTGCTTGCTGGTGAGCAAATGATGGTGATCATCATTTTGTTTGATAGACAAAGCTTTAGGATTTCTTTTGAACATGAGATGTTATATCAACTCCGACTCTTTTTCAAGTGTGAAATAATAAATATTTAAAGATTTTTTTTCTCACATTTTGATTATTTTTGCTATCAAACATCTTATTGGAAACATGTGGATGACCCAAGTCAAATATTAAAAATTTGTAAGTACTTAAGTGTTTAAAAGCTGTCAAAATATGATGATCTTAGGCCCATCCAATTCATTTCATCAAGATGGACATTCCACCTATAAACTTGCTAAATATAAATTTGAGATGAACATAAAGTTGATTCCAACTATTTGTAGTTTACATATTTATGCTAAAATGTTGGAAGATCTGTGAATAAATAACAAAAAATATATTCAAGGGATTCAAAGCAAATCCTTGAGCATAAGGGCATAAAAGTAAAAAAAAAGAACACAAAAAACACGGGCTTTAACATGAAAAATCCTAGAACAGAAAAAAATCACGAAACCACGACATAGCAAGAAATTCAATATGTAGAAAATGAGGAGATTTGTATGAATTAGACCACACTTAAGTCTCTCCATACTTTGAAATACTTTTAAAATGCTTATCTCCTCTCCTTTGCGCACAAGAAATCAAGATTCAACACTTTCTATGGTAACGAGTTTCTCTTCTGATCACTTCTTGTTTGTATAATGATTGTTTTCTACTCTTAATGTGAACAACCATAACATTAGAGCCCTTGGAGTATGAATTGAAAATTAGATGCAACTTGTTCTTCTTTTGGATTTGCGTTTTTTTCGAATTTCACTATTTCAGAGGAGTCCAGTATCTTTGCCGAACCTCGTTAAATCTCTGTGTGTTCTTCTGAATTTGTGTCAATTTTTGTTTTTCTTCGCTCTAAATTTCTCAACACAACTAAATTTGCATAATACCAAAAATGTTTCATGTTAAAAAAAATAAAGATGGGAGAGTACAAGTTATTTATCTTAATGTGCATAAAATTTCTCCTGCAAACAATAAGTGACACTCAAAAGAAGTGCAAAAATTTGCACTTAGAAAACTCTATATATATAACAAAAGTCAAGATTATAACACTCGAGAAAGAAGGGTATGACGCCATTATAACAATCTTGTATATTAACAAAAGTCAAGATTACAAAAGTTGATCACTCCCTCAAACTAGAGATAGAGAAATTAAGAAGTCAAGAAAATTTTCTTGGCCTCTTGTGATAGCAATGACAAGCACTCGAGAAAGAATAAGGAGTGTGATGGGTGTTGTTGTTGATTGATGGTTGATGGTCATATGATAATGGTTGTTCATGTTAGTTAAGAATAGGCAACAACTACTAGAGGGATGTGGGTGCTGGTTAATGGAAGGTGATGTCAGTCAATTGATAATAATCTAGTGAAGACGAATGTTAGTGGTCATCAATATTGTTTGCTGGTGAGCAAATGATTGTGATCATTGTATTGATTGATGGACAAAGCTTTATTTCTTTTTCTTTTCACATAAGGTGCTATCTCAACTCTAACTCCCCTTCAAGCGTGAAATAATATATCTTTAAAGATTTTTTTTTTGTTCTCGTATTTTGATATTTTTTTGCAAAAAAAATCTCAAACATCATATTGTATACTTTTGGATGACCCCTGCTAAATATTTAAAAATTTTAAAGTATTTGATTATCTTAATGATGTCAAAATATTATGATCATAGGCCCATCCAATTTATTTCAACAAGATGGACATTCCAACTATAAAACTGCTAAAAATAAATTTCACATCAACAAAAATTTGATTCCAAATATCTGTGCTTTACATATTTATGCTAAAATGTTGGGAGAGATGTGAATAAATCAAGAAACATATTCGAGAGATATGAAGCGAAACTTTAAACAAAAGGGTAGAAAAAAACACAAGATTTAACATGAAAAGATCTGAGAAAATCACGAGCCACGACATACCAAGAAATTTACCATGAAAAAATGAGGAAAATTGTACAAATTATACCACACTTAAGCTTCTCCACACTCTGTAATACTTCAAGAAACTCTTCTACTCTTTTTTGTGCATAAGAAATCAAAATCTAGCACTTTCCAATTTGCAAAGTTGAAACTTTAAGTGAAGAACTGCTCAACTTTGATTAGTTGTGTTGTGGGTGCCATGAGAGTGGCACTGTAGCGCTCCAAAGAGGTGCTATAGTGACATTCAAATGGTGTAGTGTTGTACTCTTGGGTTCTTAACATGGAATTAAAATTGCAGCGTTGCCTTCTATATGTTGAGGCATTGTGTACAAGAAAAATAATATTTTATCAAGTAGCGCCCCATAACCCAATATAGGGGGAACACCCCTTCGTACCCTTTAACAAACTCATCTTCAAACTTGATCGATAAAATTGAAGGCTCTGAGTGAACAATCAATTAACACAATCAGACTCCACATAATAACAAAAAATTCACACTTAACTGAATGAATTTTGTGTTGACATCTCAAAAATAATTTTTAATTTTCTATAAAGTGAAATATTTAAAAAAACTAACAACCCAAAGCATAAATAAGTTTTGGACTTTGACTTAATGGAAACCTTACAAATAAAGAACATCAATCAAATTTAAGTTAACAATAACTTGAGATTTTTTACCTAAATGGCTGACCACCTTAACATAATGATGGAAAGTTTCATCTATTAGTACTACTAGACTGTTTGGGATCAATTTTATTTTTTGTTTTTATTTTTGTTTTCTTTTCTCCTTTATTTTTAAAAACATGTTAGTTTAATGTGTTTAATACATTCTTATTTTTTGTTTCTAAAAATAAATAAACATATTTTGAAAACATTCAAAATAACTTTTAGTAGTTTGAGCATTTTAAAAAAAATAATTGTATCTCAATCAAACATATCAAACATAATTTGTTTTAAATAAAATAAAAAAAAAAAACAAGAACCAAAAGTGATCCCAAACAACCCCTAAGATTATGGATATAAGGACATGTTTCAAATACAATGCCACTATAAAGAGCTCAAACAAATTGCAAAAAGAAATATTATAACTAGACTTAAGAAAGTATGGTAGATCTAAACAACATACACTACCTTAAAAACTTCTTTTTTACTCATCCCATGTCAACAACATCAATCTTTTTCATTCAAATAATATAACATCACTAAAAATGCGAAATTGTTGAGGGAAACAAACAAAAAATAACCATTAGAATATGCGGGAAACGGTTTGTTGCACTAATTTTGTGTTGTAGAATTTACATACAGTGTACAATACCTATACTTTTTTATATCTAATACCTAAATTTTTGTATTTAATCTTGTAATACTTAAAAATGTCATAATCACATTAAAACATAGCAATACAAATTTATATTTCAATTTAGGAAAGGCAAGCTTAGTGGTAGTTTTAGTGTAATATGAAAGATTTGGGTCTTTTATATGAACAATCCTTATATATACACATAGGTCAGAATTGTATGTTATTTATACAAACATGTTAGATTTGTATGCTAAATAAACAATAAAATCATAACAATAACTAAAAGTGAATATGAAAGTTTTATAAATAAAAAATCGAAATATATATTTGAAACCGAATCAAATCAACCATATTTATTTAATTTAACTTGATTTTTCAATTTTGATCAAATAATATACACCCATATTTATTATTATAGCATATGATTTTTTTTCTTATGCTATAAGTTTTTTTTTTTAATAATATAAGGAATGACTAGATGATATTATACAAGTCTTTAGCCACCCCTAATGTGCCTAAAAATTTGAGTTCCATCTCTTTAATGACAACTGTGACAGAGGGGATTTGAACCCCCGAACTGAGGGTCTTATACAGTGGATGCCAACCAATTAGTCGGGATTTGCGGCACTCCTTATGCTATAAGTTAGAACTACTAATTTATTCATAAAATAATGCTAATATATATATTTTTTATTTATGTCAATTATATTTAGCTTGGTGCTCTTTAGAGGGCATACAAAATCTTAATTTAAATAAAAAAAATTAAAAAAAGCATAATTTAAATAAAATAAATCATATTATAGAAATGCAACAAAATTTATAAATAATTTTTTTTCGATACTTGGGCCTAGCCCTCCCGGCCATTTGTTTTGGGCCCATGTAGTTTCCCCCTCACTCAGGACTTCATTTAAGCCCATGGCTACAAGTGAGATACACTGGAGCAAAGGAGGACATCTCTTTTATGAGGCATTTACATGCATACCACCCATTTCTTATATATTTACATATGCAACACCTAAAAATTACGTTGTATGTCTATACTATCTCAATCCTTCATATCAGATAAAAATATATAACTATTTTTTCTTAAAGTACAAAAATATATAATCTTGCATATGCAAAAATTGAAATTTAGGTGTTAGATATATAAATACACGGAAATTAAGTGCTATGTATGTAAATCTTTCATTTTTTTGTGTGTAGTTTTTCACTGTTTTGGTGGCAGCAGTTACGGGCTTAAAGCCTTACACACAATCTATATATATATTTTGCATTGATGTTACAAAAATTTAACAGCCCTATGATGGGGGCAAATCCACTAAAGGGAATCACCTATCCAGACGGGCCAAGCCCTACAAAACAAATCAATTAGGTCAAAATCAATCAAGTCAAAAAGCAGACAAGAAGGTGACCGAGTGATTCAAGTATAAATCATTCGATTAAAAACAAGACGAGAGATTGTTTGAGCAATCCACTGCAAAAAAACCAACCCAATGGAAGAGCCAAACCTACAATATCTTTGACCACCTGAAAAAAAGACACAAATACTCCTTATTAGGATTGAAGATACTCAACCATACTGGATGAGTTGATCAAACCCTGCCATCGAGCTGAGATTGCCAAGCAAAATCAATTGAGTAGCCGACCGAGCCAAAATACAAGTAAACGATAAGCAACACGTTAAAAATACCAGAAATACCCCAGTAAAAAAATACAAAAAATACCCTAATACATCCTTTCTCCAAATGGGGTAAAATTTTAATATTATTATTGTACTATTTCCTCTATAAATAAGAGAAACATTTTATAAAGAAGGGATACTATTCATCTTTGTTAATATATATATATTAAAAAGAATGACATGAGGTTATCATACGAGCCCCGACCATTCCCAATGCACCTAACAATTTGAGTACCACACACTCCACCGGGGGGAATCAAACCCCAGACCAGAGGGGACTTACAACTGATAAACACATACCCGACCAACTGACCTGAATACGCGACATATATATATATATATATATATATATATATATATATATCTACTCATACCTCATTTACGCTCTATTTCTTGGGTGTGATTTAGAAAAATAATCTATGATACAAAACACACAAATGATGCGCGTGTTTATGTATGAATCTATTTCTTGGGTGTGATTTACAAATATTGCAACTAACAAACATTGCAAACATTTTTACTAAACTGCTAATCAACATTTCTTCATAATTCATCATAATTGATCAATATACACTATTCTTAATTATTTTACTCCAATTAGTTCAATAAATTAAGACAACTTAAAACCGAAACTTCTGGATTCCGAACCGGTCCTTGTTCCCTAAATTCAGAAAGAAAAACATAAATTTAAGTAAATATCACACAATTCTAACGTATTTACATATCTAACATCTAAGTTTCTATTTTTATTACTAAAACATTTTAATATTATAAATTCACTTTTAAAATCTAAATATTTTTTTTAATGTGATATTAAAATGTTGAATCTTGTATAAATATAAACGTTTGGGTGTTTAGAGATATAAATACACAAAATATTGTGTAGCATGTATTTAAATGCCTAAAAAGACCAATATAATTATAAGTAGATTAACATATTTTGTACGTTACAAGAAGAAACCTAACAATTTATATTATTTAATTTCAATTCTTCAAGTTTGAACTTTGCTAAAATAATTGTCTTCTCTCTCTCTATTTAATGTTCTATCAAGTATCATCTATTGGCAACAAGTACTGTACTACACGCCAAGTACAACAATGGATGTGTGGTAATGTCGACTAGTGTTTCTGATTGCTGCTACAAGCAACCCTTCTGATATTTTGATAAATCAAATAAATTTAGTATTTTTTTTAACTTGGTGAATTTAATCATATTTATCAAAAATTAAAATGGATAATTAAGTAGAGGACACCTTAGAATATTGATATTTATAAATCAAGTGCGAGAATGATGTTTTGAACTATTGGACCGATGTGTTTATGTGTGTCACAATCAAATCATTGAGAAGTTGATAAAAAAAAAAAATGAGTTGATGTTTTTATTAATATATGCTTGAGCTGTCATACTGATGATGGGAGTTAGACGCCTAATTATATACTCATATGGTGTGTATTTTTAGGCTAAATTATTTATTTATTAATAATAAAATTTAATTAGATGTTAATCTCAGTGCTTGGAATGTGGATTAATCTCCTTTGCCTTCTATGAATTAAAGCCTAAGGATTTTATTAATGGCCATCTCTCTTTTAAAAGATTTCAATGCTTCCCCACCCTATTGAAGGCAACCTTGACAATTTTTTTTTTTCTCATGGAGGTAGAGTTTAGATTAATGAAGTTCTACCGTGTTTCAACCAAATCATCATCAGATGATATTTGTGCAGTTAAGAAATTTTCTAACAAAGAATTTTTTTTAAGAATTCTCATAAAAATATTTAACCTTTAGATTATTGATATAAAATAATGATGAGAGATTTTAATTGCATTATATCTATAAATAGAAAAATTGGTCTCTGATTTCTCTTATAAAGTAAGCTTGAGGAGTGTGATGAATGCATTTTTTGGCATGGTCTTATAAAACCCTCACTTTGAAATTGTTTCACTCATGACATAATAATCTAGAACTCCTATCTTATCCTATATTAATTTGGCAAAGCCTTTTCCCTGGTTCCCTTCACTTCTTGCTATATAAATATACTTTCTCTGCTCTTTGACAATTCTCTAGTAACATTCCCTCTCAAAAGCGTATATTCACTTTAAGAACTTATGAGACCTTCTGTTACAAATTTTAAAATGTTGTCCAAAATATTTTGAATGTCTTTAATCAAAAGGACCTTGTGCTTGTGTTATGGAATGAAAATTAAAGATTATTAAAATAAGTCCTGAAACCTCACCCTAAGACAATGCATCCCAACATGGATTATACTCTCAGCTTCATCTTAATCCCCAAGGTGCTTCATTTTTTGTAGGATTATGCTCTCAGCTAAAGATTATCATTTTATTGATCCCCATTGTTTGATTGTAAAATTAAGGTTAGTATTTTCAATATAAGAGATGATGGAAAACTCGGTCACTGCGAGCTTAATTCAAAGTTCTACTTTAAATAAATTTGATTAATTTTTTTACAAAAATCATTGGTCATTTTTTTTAGTACTTGCACGCTTTAGCAGATGGTGAATCACTCTAATTAATATAAATCTCTAATGTTTTAATGCTAATTATGGTTTATATTGCATGTTAGTTTTTTTTTTTTTTATAATACCTTTAATAAAATTGCTATGGGGTTTTTTCTAATAGATTAACATTAAATTTTCCCAAGCTTGTTTACTCTTCTTAGGTAACATTCATAAAAGGTCGGGACATTTTGATTATATCTTCCCAACTATACAATCACTTAATATGATGTCAAATTTCTGGCGAGAAAATAAAACTTAATTCGCTACCTCCGCATGCATGCCTGTCGCTGCCGCTTACCTGCCGCCGCCCGCGGCCTACCACCCGCATGCTTGCCCGCAGACTCCTACGTGCCGCCGCCTCTAATGCCGCCTACCGCCCTGCCCCACCGGCCACCAGGTGCCTCATGCCTTTGCCGTCGCCGCCCGCCACCTCAGCCACATGCCGCCCGCAGCCCGACACGGACATTGCGGCCCGACATGCCCCCCCAAGCCCGACACGGACATTGCGGCCCGCTGCTTGCTTGCCTGCTCACCTGTCGTCGACACCTCCCAACGTTGACGTTCACCCCCGCCGTTATCCTCTGCCGCCAACCTCTGCTGGCAGCCATTCGCCACTGCCCGATGCCGCCACCGCCGCCGCCTTGCCACCCGAGACGCAGTCCTTAAGGCGTCACTGCCGCTCTTTGAGATCTTTTGTCCATGCAAATACATTATTTTCAATCTATTAAAAAAAAAAAAGAAATCTTAAATTTATTTTCTAGTGAACCAAACAACTAGAAATTATTTCAAATACATTGTAATCATTGTACATTATAAATCTTTAATATTGTTTCTTTTTTAGCAAATCAAGCAATCCCTTAAATTATTTGTATAAATTTTGATATAAATATTTAATCTTTCTGTCCACATGACTCATCTAATATTTAAGGAAATAATTAATATAATATTTGCTTTTAGTTTTGAGCTCTAAATAATTTTTAGGGGCAATTACAATGAGACCATTCGAAGCTAACTATTTGCAAAAACACTACTCTCTCTCATCCATTTTTCAAATTCACACTCAAATATCTAATTCATGGTATTTTTCATTTTTATCAAATTCTGTTTATCAGAGAAAAATTTAATCTGATTCATTAATTTATAAATATTAAGGTTTCGGGGGGCCTCAATGTGAGTTCTCTAATTTTTAATTCCCGTCAGCCAATTCCAGTGCCCCAACCCAGCGGGCCCAACGGATAATGAGGTTTCATCGTCTGCATTGGCCCCAAACCCTATAAATGGGGAATTCGGGTCCTCTCCCACAAAGCGAACTGCAACTCGCGAGTAACAAGTCATCAACTGTCGGAGATCGATGCTTTTCCCTCCCGCTTTCAGGTCGCCTATTCTTTTTCTTTTTCCTTCTTGTCGACTTCTTTCTCTGAAACTGTTCATTACTTGATCCGGTATTAGATTGCCTCATTTCCTATCTATTTCCCTTTCCCCCCGCTAACCGTAATCTGCAATGAATTTTCCTTGCTGATCGATGAAATCTAATTGGGATTTGAAATTTTGTGTTGGATGTGATTTCAGAACTGAATGAGTGAAGAACTCTAAGGACCTTGCTGAGTTAGGGTTAAAACCGTTGTGCGAGCCTTTGGTCCTTGTTGAATCGGAAATGGAGAGGGAACAGGAAGCAGAGTGGCTTGAGGCCCAGAAGATTTTGATCAGCCTAGATCTAGTGGCTGCTGCCAAGCAGCAGCTCGAGTTCCTTGCTGCTGTGGATCGTAATCGGTTTCTCTATGACGGCCCTCTACTTCAGAGGGCGATCCACAGGTTGGGAAGTGCCAATATTTATAAATTAGAATATTGAATTGAATAATTGTGTCATAGTGCCAGCTGATGCAGAGGGCAGCGTGATTTAAAATACTAAAACACAAACCATAATCCGATACCAAGTTTATGGTCCGTGGTGTTTCTGGTTGCTGAATTGAGAAATTTCCCCCATTCAATGGAACGTTTACGTTGCATTTGCTTGAAATTGTTTCTTAAGTTTTGCTTTAGTTGGCGGACCTAGGCCTTTTTTAGTCGACTTTTGCCATAAAGAGTTCCATTGAAGTAATTTTTGTTCAGATGTAACCCAAGGCTTTGAAATTTAGGTACAAGACTTGCTGGCTTCCATTGTTGGCCAGGCACACTGAATCTGGAGATATAGGTGAATCTTTGACTGTCCCTCTTGATTGTGAATGGATATGGCACTGCCATCGGCTTAATCCGGTATGCCCATCCGACTAGGACGATTTTATGCTTGGATATTTAGCTCCAATTTTTTTTCCTTTGCGCTTCTACGATGAAATTCTAATCTATTCATATGATATATTTGCTTGAAAGGGCAGATACAGTACAGAAAGGACTGTGAGAAATTATATGGGAGAGTCTTGGACAAAAAAAATGTCCAGTCTACTGTACATGAGAAAGCAAAACAGCAAACTGCAGAAATATGGGCCAGTTTTTATCCAGATGAACCTTTTGAGCTTGATTTTAGGAGTCCTTCAACTGGAGGAACTTCCAATAAGCATATTGAGACTTTAAATACTATCACATATGATTTGGTTTCTGCTGTCAAGAGACAGTCTTCCTTTTACCACCAGGTAGTTGGAACCTTATCTCTGTAACATAAATTTGATCTTTGTATTACTCTTTTCTTGTCTCTTTACTTTTTCACATGAGTATCACATTATGTCATTATCATTTGTTACGTTGTATAATTTGACTGATACAAGGCCTGCGTATTGCTTGTTTGATAAATGTTTTATTTACACTATTGGTCTATCAACTGCGGTGATTCCGATGAAAACTGTGAGACAGTATATTCTCATATTTGAGTAGTATTATATGCTGCTGCAAACCCCTCCCTGTTCACATACAGTTATGAATCAGTAACGTTTATCACTACTTTAAAAGATTTTTACTTAAAAATGTTTTTTACTTTGTCTTTGAGTCCGTTACGACAGGAAGTTTGTAGCATTCAAGGTATAGAAATCTGGTTGGGCATATAAGATATCCTTTCGGCCCTTAGATTTGCTTTAGTAGAGGAGTTTTAGATTAAAGAGGAAAGCATAATCAAGGGTAGAATAAGAAAGACAATGCGAAATGTATCACTTTTTGAATGTGTTCAATACATGAAACCTCATAATTAATCACCCTAGACACTACCGTGCTATTCACACCTGGTGGGAGATTTAGGCGAACCAATGCTTCTAGGAAAAAAGACCAAAAAATCAAGTAAATAAATTTGTACTACGATGTATATTTTAAATTTGGTGTTGCAACATTTAATATTAGGCAACTAAAAAAAAATCAATGGTATACTATATATTACGTTATTAATTTATCTTGTGTTGAATAAAAATAATTGCTCAAGAACCTCAACTATTCATGAAGGACTCGGACTTATATAGAACATTACAACTTCCTTAAAATTAAATCCTTAAACTTATTCTATATTTCCTATTTATAAATATGACCCTAAACTATATACAATTCTCAACACTCTTCCTCAAGCCGGGCAAAAGATATCCACTAAGCTCATCTTGTCACACAATTTGGATAGATCTAATAAGCTAAGTTCCTTGGTAAGGCAACCATCTACTTGCTCTCTTGTAGCTACATGATTTATCTCTAGTAATAATCTATTCAACTTCTTCTTGATGAAGAACTATCAATCTTTACATGCTTGGTTCTGAGTGTTGCACAGGGTTGTTGGCAATGTTGATTGCTGACTTGTCACATCACAACTTGATTTGAGCTCTTTGATCCAGCTTGAGCTCTACCAATAGAGCTCTTAGCCATAATATCTCGGCAACTCCTAAGGCCATGGCCCTGTACTCTATCGTTGACCTTGCAACTACCGACTATTTCTTGCTCCTTCAAGAGACCTAATTGCATCCTTCAGACATGCAATATCCTGATGTGGACCTCATGTTATCAGCATAGCAAGCCCAATTAAAGTCACAATAACCCTCAATGTCTAAATGCTCATTATTTCTGAAGATAAACCCCTTCCCTAGTGCACTCTTCAGGTTTCTCAGAATTTTATACATTGCATACATCTGACCCTTCCTCGGATCATGCATATAACGATTCATCACGCTTATTGCAAATGATATGTCGAGATGTGTGTGACTCAGATAGATGAGATGCTCTACTGATCTATGGTACCTCTCACAATCAACTAATCCTTCTATCTTTGTGCTCAACTTTCTCTTCTGATCAACTGTAGGCTTGCATCCCAACATACCTGAGGTAGAACAATCACCTCTGCTCTAACACATACTATATTTGTGAGTAAGTGTAACACATATTTCCTCTGAGGTAGAACAATCCCATCTGCTCTACGTGCCACCTCAATCCGAGGAAGTATTTAAGCTGTCCAAGGTTCTTCACCTCAAACGCTTTGCCCAAACTTGCCTTCAGTTAAGCAATCTCCCTCTCATCATCTCCAGGACAATCATATCATTCACATGCATAACAAGATAGTAATGTGACCATCATGTCATCAAAAGAAAACTGTGTGGTCGGTATTGATCTGCTGATAGCACATGCCTACTATATTGCTCTTCTAAACTTGTCAAATCAAGCTCATGGTGACTGTTTGCAACCGTATAGCGACTTCATCAGTTTACATACATTGCCCACCGTTTAGTTTGTGTCAAAGCTTGGAGTTATCTCCATGTACACCTCTAGCAGATCCCCATGAAGAAAGGTATTATTCACATCCAGTTAATGTAACTTACATCTACTATTTACAACCAAAGAAACGAGTGTCCTGAATGTGCTCATATTTGTTATTGGTGCAAATTTTTCATCGATGTCGATGTCATACGTCTAACTATACCCTTTTACCACTAATCGTGCTTTGTAGCGATCAATCTTTCCTTCTGAGGTCTGCTTCACTGTAAAGATTTATTTGCACCCGACTGTCTTTTTCCCTACTAGTAGCAACACAAGCTCCCACATCCTATTTATATCGAGAGCACTAAGTTTCTACAGCATGAAAGTCTTCTAATTTGGATCTTCCTTAGTTATCTGCTAACACTAGGGTATAGGGATAGTGTCAAAAAATGCAATGAATGCTCTTTGTAAAGGTGATATGTTAGAGTATGAGACAAACATGACAATGTTATGTGAGAAACCAAAAAGTTTAGGAGGATAACGATCAAGAGGATGACTTGCTTTGCTGCGAGAGATCCTCAAAGTCATGGGATTTAGGAAAAGGGAGAGGAATTATTTCACCTGCGTAATCGAATTTCGAGGTAGATGATGTAGGTGTCTCAGTTGTCAAAGTTTTGAGAAAAATAGTCTGAATACTGAATAGACTCAATGTCTTTTTCCCTTTGCTTTCATTCTAAATTATAATCTGACAATCTATTTTAGGTACGAAATAAAGTGCATAATCTATTTTAGGTAACATAAAAATATATATTTCTAATCTAAATCTTAAGCTAAAAGGGAAATAAATCATAATAGAGACATTGAAAATAATTTAAATAAGGAAGCTCTTAATTATATAAATCTCCTAATTTAGCTGTCTGATTTCGTCCTTTCTGATTGACATCCCCTTTCAAATTGATGTTGACTGATCAAAAAACATCAATTTGCCAACAAAAAACTGATAACATTGTCAGGACAAAAAAATTTCAAGTAGTGAGTGCTGAAGCCGAAAGTGTCGAAGCTCGAGAGTGTCGAAGCCTGAGAGCGCCGAAGCCCAAGAGTGTCGATGCTCCAGAGTGCCCAAGCCCCAGAGTGCCGAACCTTGAGAGTGTCAAAGCCGAAGCTTAAGCGAATGAAGCGAAGCGTAAGAAGCAGTTGAAGATGCCGCAGAAGCGGTGATGCCTAGCGAAGAAGATCCGAATCAGACGAATAATAATACAAACATAACACCCCTTTTCAACCCAAGAATTTTTGTATTCCACAATGAATGAATTTTGCACTTCAGAATAAGTTCCATCTCTTGGCGAGCAAATCTACCTGTCTGTCGATCAAGTTTGATATTCTTCAAGACATACTTCTTCTTTTCCACCTTGTTTTTCATGAGAAGAGCTGAGAACAACAACAAGAAGAAACTAGACTAGCGCTCCAACTCGAGCTGACAAAAAGCTTAAAAGGAAAGCATGATTGTAGATCCCCTGATGGCGTTGCTGAACTCCTTGCAATTCCATAAGATGAGTCCGCCTCTTGTGAATATCAGCAACTGCTCAGACATATTCGGTACCTTCCTCAACGATTTTGGGTAGGAGAGGACCAGAGCTCTAAGGCCAGTGCGAGGGAGGAGAGCCGCAGCTAAGGCAGAGACGACGGTTGACGCGGAGAGGCACCAGCTAGGGCAAAGACGCAGGGAGGAGAGGAGATCGTGGCTATGCCGCTTGATGAGGAGATCGCATGTTGACGAGGAGAGTCGCGGCTAGGGCAGAGGCGACGAGAAGACCACGACTAGGGTAGAGGCGATGAGAAGATCGTGGCTAGGGTAGAGAACCAGCGGGTTCCCTTCGACTCCATTGTGGATCGAAGATGTCACAAACTAAGCAGACGAAGATAGACGAAGATGCCGCAGAACTCAAAGGACATGAAGGAGCGCTCCCGATGAGCAGGCGAGGACCTTGGAAGCAGTCGAAGATGCCGACGAACGTTATGCTAGTGTTGAAGACTATGAAGGAATCATACCAATTCAAAGTGACTCTGATACCATGTTAAAGTTTTGAGAAAAATAAGCTAAATATTGAATAAGTTGAATACTAAATAGGAATTATTTCACATGCGTAATCGGATGGTGTAGGTGTCTCGGTGGTAGGGGTAGATCGGGACAAGGGACTTGTTGGCACAAGTGACACGCTAGACACTGTTCTCTCATTCCACCTCCTTGTATACGCCTTCAACTCCCCTTAAACCACCTTCAGGCTCATTTTCTGGCTCTTCCTCAGTTGATCCTTCCCACACAAAGGGATAAGGCATCGTTATCACATATACCAATCTCTCACCATCACTACTCCCCCCTTTCGCCTCATATCTCTAGTATCTGGCGAGTCACCAACGGGTTAGGTCACCACCATGGTGCAGTATGATTCGAATTCTTTGCAAGTCACATTCATACTTACAAACAGTCTTTTCTCTATTGGACTCTAACAAACATATCCCTTCTGAGTGGTAGAATAGCCTATGAAAATACACTTCACATCTCTCGGATCCAGCTTTCCTGTTGATGATCTATTATCCTTAAAAAACATACACAACAAAATACTATTAATTGGAGTCCTTTCAACAACTGACAATGAGATTATCACTCCAACACTCTTCAAGGTATTTTTTTTATCAATTTAGCGGCTGTCAAAACAACTTGCCCCACAAGTACTTTGAGACATTCATTGAGATCATCATGCTTTGGGCTACCTTTAGAAGGTGTCTATTATTCCTCTTTGCTACTCTATTTTGTGTCTGTGTGTATGAGCATGTGGTTTGATGTTGTATCTCTTGGGCTAACAAGTACTCCCCAAACGTCTTGTAGGTATGCTCTGTCTCATTATCAGATCTCATTACCTTCATTATTGCACCGTATTGAGCCTGAACCACTCTATGAGTCTTTAAAACAGACAGA